TTCTTTCTTTCTTTCTTTCTTTCTTTCTTTCTTTCTTTCTTTCTTTTCTTTCTTTCTTTTTAGATTTTATTTATTTATTTGAGAGAGAGAGACAGCAGAGAGAGAGAGAGCACTAGTTGGGGGGAGCAGCAGATGGAGAGGCAGAAGCAGGCTCCCCACTGAGCAGGGAGCCCGACAAAATAATATTTCTGGATGAGTCCAAGAGTTAGCTTTCTCCAAGAAATCACACACAGTTGTCATACCATGATAAATTCACATCACTATCCCAACAGGGTCCTCGGTATTGCTCATAAACCCCTATTTCTTTCAGTCCTGAGATTTGCACCAATCTTACTCACCACTTCTCACTGTACATCAGCTCCTCAAACATGGTGCTCTCCTCATCATGTCCCAAAGAACCATGTTCATTCTCACCTCCACAGGGTAGTAGCTGCCTTGTTCAAATCCTCTGCCAGCTGGTGCAGCCAGTTCCTCACCTGCTTCGGGTGTTAGTTGTTAACTGCTCACAGCTACCCCCTTCTCTGGTGGGTTGTCTGTGGACAAATGGAGCCTCCAAGAACCAGAGAGATGCCAGGAAGTTTAGGCCATTTAGGGCCTAAGTGAAATGTGGAATGAAATGTAAGTTCTATTCCTGACAAAGTCAAGGGTACTACAGGTAGCACGACAATTTCATTCTACCTTTCATAATGAAATGAAATGTTAAATTTCAGTTGGAGGTAAGAATAAAAGATGTGATTTTTGGATTTTCCCCATCCAAGTTCATGATACTGATTTGTATTCACGGACACCTGTAGGCTCTGTGGACCCCAGGTTAAGACCCCTGTACTAGAGAATCTGTAGGCCTAGGAAACTGACATTCAATTCACTCAGCCTCACACTATATGCTCCTTCACAGTTAAACAGATTGTTTAACAGTTAAACAAACAGTTCCTCCCCTGCCCAAGAGACAGGAACTTTTCAAGGGTCCTGACTAGACTTCCCCATTCTGAGGCAGTATCAGTGAGAGATGCCTTCCTGGGGACTGGGGAAGCCCAGGAAAGCTCACCAAGCTCATATTCTTCTTTAGCGTTAGTTTCAACATAAATTAAATACGGAGATTTAAAACAAAGCAACAAAGCTGTTCTGTGTCCCGTCAGGCTCCAGGCCAAGGGATAAGCAGAAGACGAGGAAGGAGCAAGAGACCCAGGAGAAGACAGGTGGCGTTGGTTCGAGGAAGAGAGAACCGCCCACTCCACACACCGTGGTATACCGCGGACCGGAAGTCGAGGTGCCGGGCCACGCCGGCTTCCGGCGTCACTTCCCCCGGGACTTCCTGTTGAGAACATGGCCGCTCTCATTGGTGTCCGCTGCTTGACCCGAGTGAGGCTCCGGGTCGGGTCGGGCCGGGGGCGCGCGAGGGAGAGGCGGGTTTGTACCGGGTTCACTGCAGTGTTCGGGGTCTGGGACTCCCATACCCGACCTCACGGGCGTGTGCGTCTGTGTCGCAGGTGCTGGTCGCCGCCCCGAACCCCGGGGCATGGAGGAGCCTGTGTACCTCGGCCGTGGCGCACGCCGCCTCGCGGAGCCAGGTAAGGGCAGGTCCGACTCCGGTCTGCCCACTCCCCTGTCCCCTCATTCCCTCTCCCCGGGGATCTGTGCTCCCGCCCCAGCTCTAGCTCTGATGGCACCGCTTCCAGGCTGAGGACATGAGGGTGGAGGGAGCCTTTCCAGTGACTATGCTCCCAGGAGACGGCGTGGGACCTGAACTGATGCACGCTGTCAAGGAGGTGTTCAAGGTGAGTGCCCTGGGGGAGTCAGCCAGCGCGGACTCTGGGGTGCGTTGGAAAGTCCGGACTTAGTCGATCCTGACCCAGAGATTTTTGGGACGTGCCCCTGAAGGCTGCCTCTGTCCCAGTGGAGTTCCAGGAGCATCACCTGAGCGAGGTGCAGAATATGGCATCTGAGGAGAAGCTGGAGCAGGTGTTGAGTTCCATGAAGGAGAACAAGGTGGCCATCATTGGTATGTGTGCCCCCTTGCTACTCCACCCGTGTGCCCTTTAAAATCACATGAGCAAATGTTCTTTAAGCTTCTTTCCCACACATACTAACACATTACATCCCCCAAGCTCCCATCACTATTTTGTGGCCATTTGTTTCTTCTGTTAACTCAGGAGTTGAGAGATCATGTGAGCTGTCTTGGCAGGAAGGCTTCAAGGGTTTGAAGTCTGTCAGGGGGCCACATCATGGGTCATCAAATCTTGTTAATTATGTTTCTAGAATGCCACTTCTAGCTGCCTCTTTTTTTCTGTCTTCCCCTTTGCTTCTCTGCT